CTTAAGTCCTATAGTATCTTGGATTGTATGTAAAGCCTCAATATACTTTCAATCTATTACACCATCTTTAATTTTAATTTGTCTATAAGTACCTAATGCATTACGTGTGAGCTTAAGCATATGACACGCATCTGGGATAAAATAATTTTTTTGATCACTATGTAAAAAATAAGGTACTAAATTATGAATATTACCACAAATTTCACAACCAAGATATGAAAAAGAAGAAAAATTAGAAAATGTACCATCACACGTCACACTCCATACTCGAAGACCAGATTTGATTAAAAGATTTATAGCAGTTTTGATTAATTCAGCTTGAATATTGGCAAATGACTTAGTTTGTAAAAAATACCCTATAGGCCATTTCCATTTACTGTTAATTGATACCAACATGAATATAAGAGCTTCTGTAGCTGGAGTATCTACATTTTGTAGCTGTAAATCATTTCAAAAATCACAATACCCAACAAATTTTTCTTTTTTTGAATCCCAAAGAAGATTGACATACTATCAATAATTAAATTGCAATCCTTATCTCTAAAGGAAAATACTGAATACTTCTAAAACAAAAATATTAAAAAATAATAATTCAAAAGTAGTATATTGAATATAATTCATATAAACATAATCATGAAAAGCATAATGCAAGCATAATTATATAAAACAATGAGTTTAAAAAACTAAATATTCAGATGAAATATTTAAATGAATATCCTTTAATTATTATTAAAAACAAAGCAAAGATAGCATGTATTTACCTTCAGAATGTATAATCTTTAGACGAATTATAATGCTAAGTTAGAGCAAATCGTTTAAGCTCATCGGTATATCTACGTCCATGCGATAATTTTTTAGCATTTATAAGCTGATTTTTAAAAATTTCTAATGTCATACCATCAAATCGATCAAGTAATAAATTTTCAACGGAGTCATCAACAAAACCTTTTTTTTTTAAAGATCTTGTTAAATCCTTCAAATTTGAAATTCTTGATTGTTGCCTCCTAACTTTTTGTTGCAGAACTTTTACTTTATACCTCAAAGCGATAATAGTTAGATGAAGGGGCTTTTCTTCAGTTTGAACACTTTCATCAATTTTCAGATTTTGTTTTTTAACAGTTTCAACTCCAATATTATTTTCATTAGTTGTCATACACTGGTTTTCAATACTTGAAGTACTGACAGATGCGATTTCTTGTGATACTGTACGTTCAAGTTTTCTTCTAGGTTTTTTAGGAATAGTTTGGTAATATGAAGGTAATATTTCTTTTCATGGCCAGTAACCACTGTTTTAATAACTCAGGATTATTCAAAGGAAACCTGTAAAAATAAATAGTTGACAAAAACTATAATTTTAACAGTAAATATATTATGGTTATTATGAAGTAGAAGTATATGTATATATATTTATACACACACACACACACATATATATATATATATTGCAAACAAAAGTTATACAATTTTTTTCTGGTGGAATTCAATATTTGTACCAGCAACTACTTTAAAAGTATTTACTTAAATAGGTAATAATTTTGGCATAAATATAAAATTTGTACGGGAGGGTAGAACACCAAAACCCCCCTATGGACGCCCTTGTATGAAATAAACATATCGAATTACCTCTTGTACATAATATTCCCAAAATATTGCAATAAATACTTTTATTCATATACAAATGGTACTAATTGCCAATTAGTATAAACTGGTACAAATTAGTTACATTTTATGTATATTACACAATAATATTTTATCATTAACTCACCCAAATAATAACAACCCATCATTAGATTTACGGCGATTAGAACAGCCATAAGCTGCACATGAAACGGGCATGGTTTCCAAACACTAAAAATTAATATTATATAGGTAGGTACTTTTAACATAATATTATATTATAATATCTCATACAATGAGATTGGTCAAAAATAAAGTCGACACTTACCACTTATTACAATTTAAAACAAAAAAAAAAAAAAAATACAACACAAATAATAAAGAAGCCAGAACCCTAAACTTGTGAACTTGTCCGTTATATTTTGATTGTTATTTGTTGACCTGTTTGCAAATGGCGGAAATAACACTAGACCGACGCTCGCCGCTTCACTTTTGAGCGGTCAGTTCCTTATCTTTAAAATCTCTGCTATAGGTAAATTTGGTGACTTCTTATCTATGTTTTTTATGTATTTATAACAACATATCCATAGGTAACTTGTAACCAGTGGTACTCAACCTTATATCCATGAACTGCGGCTGCATCAAATGGTTTGGTGGTGGATGGTGGTACTCATACTACTCATATTAAGCTAGATATCCGGTATTTTACCTCTTAAGTATTAGCAGTGTTGTGCTCAGATAAAAAAATATATCTAGATAACGATAAGATAAATGAAATTTAAATTATCTAAATATATATAGATTGAGCAAAAATATTAACCTATCTAGATATAGATAAATAAAAATAATTTTTATTTAGATAAAAATTAGATACATTTTTTAATTTTGATATATAATAACAAAAAATTGTAACTAATGATTAAAAACATGGTTTTTTTTTTAAAAGTGTTTAATTAAAATAAAGACAATTAAATTTGATTAGCACCTTAGATAAGTATTAAATAATAAATATAATCAGAGCTCGTTTTGAAGGGGGTCGCAGGGGACGGAGTACCCCAACTAATTTTCAGAAATTTTAACGTTCCCCTACTATTATTACATTATAATTATAACGCTTAACAAGTTTTGGAGACGCTCTTTTTTTTGAGTAAATAGAGTCCCCCTTCTTTAATTTGACCAAGTCGAGCACTGAATATAACTGATATATAACCAACTCGTACTATAAATACTATAAATATTTTTAAATCTGAAGGAAATACAACATTTTTTAGAAAAATTAGTATTAATAATATTATATGTTTTATTTACAAACCTTAAAATTTAATTTAATCAAGATTTAAATTTGAATGGTTTAATAACATCAAACAAATTATTTGTAACATACTGTATTGTTTATTTATTTTTTATTCATAAAAATATATTTAAATTATTAATTACGTGTGACATTGTATTGCTGTTAACATGAGATTATGAAAGATTGAAGACATTAATACATAGTACAAGCATAATAATTAACAATGTTTGAACATAATTTTTCTAAAACAATATAACATAATATATTATATTATAAAAAGCAGAAGTTAGATGTATTTTTAACAAAATTAATTAGTTATTAACAAAAAAAAATTAAATGCAATGAATGTTATCTTTAACAAAAAAACATAAAATAATAAAACCAATAACAAGTAATTTTAAGTCTTATACCTACAACACAGAAGATTTTCAAAAGTTGAATTATCAAGACGATGTCGCCTCGATGTTAAAACTTGAACAGCACCATTAAACAACCTTTCTACAGTTGCTGATGAAGGAAAGGTTGTATTGTATTTTGAAAATATATTTTTGTTAACAGCAGGATATTAGTTTAATCAATCAAGCTCTTTTTTTTTTTTTATTCAAATACTTTATTGTTTGTGAATTCATCAAATTATATTGTCTTAAGCTATAAATTATAATCTAGATGACCATAATTTTCATCTAGATGAAAATTAGATGCCAATTTTTTTTTATATAGATGAATTTAAATATTGCATACCACTGAGTATTAAATATGTATATATATTAATAGACAAATATAAGTCATATAATGCATTATTTAAATATAATAGTCACTAGTTGCCAGCAAGTAGATAGTACTTACTTAACTACCTACCAAATACAAGTAATTCGACATGTCCTGAAATGAATATCGGCGTCACTTCATCTATAATTTCACAACTTTGCCCAGTCTACAGAAAATAATAATTTTCATTGTTGTTTGTAACTAACCACGTATAGTATTTTTACACAGTCATTCAAATACACTTCAAGCACCTACACACCCACCCACCAAAATCATGTGTATATCCATCGATATATTTGAGATATAAGATGGTCACCACTACTAATAAATAATATAGGATATTAATCCCCATTTTTTTTAGATAATAAATAAATAATTAATTTAGTAGCGTTAAACATTTAATAATTTTTAATTTTTAATTGATATTTTATTATTTTATTATTTTAAAATATTTATTAAAAACTATAAACAGTTTAATACTTCGTGTAAGTAAATATAGTTATTCTAATTTAGAACTTAGTCGCAAAATCTAAGTCCTATTTAGAAAAATATTACTTGCCCATAATTAATGTATAATAATTATTATTGGGTTACTTGTTACTGTTATTTCATTAAAAAATTAACATAATCTGATGTTTTATTTAAATTTTATTATTTTAATTGAAAGTCTGAAGCTTACAAAATGCCCTTATCAATTAATAGACGATTAATTAAAAAAAAAAAACCTACTACAATAATCAAATATTAACTTTTGTTTTAGGATAGATTAACTACATTCAATTCAATCAAAACTGAAAATGGAATTGAATATTGAAAATTTATGAAAATTAGAGTTTTGCATCACGGTAATTTTGTCAAATTGCTTTTTAATCTGTTTTCTTTTAGGTTGTATAAATATAGTAATTGTTATCGTAAAAATTAAAAAAGGAATTCAGAATTAATTTTATTATAATGTTTTGCCGGTCATTTTTTAAAATAATACTTTTTCGAATTATATTTATATTCATACTATTTATAACTAAATTATATTTGTATAATTTTCATGTTTTAGTAGTTTTAACAAGAAATATACATCTCCAAACTCATATATATATATATATAGCTTGGCAAACGCTTATATCAATAAAAAAACAAATATCTAAAAATTAAAGGATCTAGGTATAAAAAAATCTTACAATAATAAAAATTTTATTTTATTTTAGGTTTGAATTTATTACTTACCATTCAAATCCAAAGAAAACTGGAAGATCGAATACTAATTTTAATTTATGAAAATGATAGTTTTACATTTCAATAATATTGTTAA